GCAAGCATCAATATTGCCTAGTGTCTGTGGTAAGGCCAATTTGTAATGGTGTTTGCGGCCACTGTTGCTTCTTTCCCATGTTAAGATGAGCCTTTGTGTGCTTTTAAAGCAGTTTGTAAATGCTTCTAGTGCGTGTAGAGAAAGCTGATGTATCCAGCTTGACTTTAGGGTTTAAGTTGGTCTAAAGCACTACCTGTACAAACACCTGAGAAAATGTTGGACAAACATGTTTTGTCACTATATGTCATGCTTAAGCTACAGCCAAGTGATACTAGGGCGTGCTTGGTGGCAACTTTGGGTTAATTCCTTCTGTCCCTTCACTTGCAGCAACTGTTTGTGGGACTGTTCTCTAGAACGTGCCCAGGCACAGATGTGCTTTAAACATAATCCAACAAAATCTTGACTTACATCAGCTGGTCTAGTTGACACATCCTCAAAACTGTCAACAGAACCCAGCGGGCTGCTAAGTGAAAGACGGGAGCCCTTGGCAGCAGTGCTGCTGTCAGACCTGTTGCTTGTGAAATGATACAGCTGCACACACATGCAGGATGAAGGCATCTTTCAATCCTTATTGCAATTTTGCCTTCAGCATTTTTGTGCAGAGCTCTTAAGTGGCAGCAGTGACAAGCAGTTGCCACACAGTAGTTGGAAAGTGACTGATTGACTGATCTGGATTAGTGCGACTCAATAGAAGATCTGGTTTCAAACTAGTTCCCTGATCTTTTCTGCCTCGTTGCTGTAGGTATATTTGCTGGCCCAAGGACAAGGGGAGGAGTATAATGTGGTGGGGCAAGAAAGCAATAGTGTCATTATAGTACTGTGATTCAAAGCTGCTCCAATTATTTTTTGGTTGAAAACAAGCTTTGCTATCAAGCCCAGCCAGTCACTGCTTTCTGAACTCTGCTGCAGATGAAGCTTTTGTGAATCGAAGTGGCTCTCAACTGCTGTGTTGCTGGTAGCTCCTCATACAAGATCTGTCTTGAAGCAATGATGTTGCTATCTGTTTCAGCTGTGGTAACTACTTCCTAGTCAGTTCATACCCACAGTTAAGTACATGTCCCCTTCAGGAGGCCTTGGAGACCTGCCCTGTTTGGAGAGGTATTTGTACTGAAGCAGGAAACTGAGTTCTGCCCATGGCTGTTTTAAGCACAAAGTGCTTCTTCTGAACCAGAGGTAATGCTGTAAAGAGCAAACATCTCTATACACAGATAGTATCATTGACCTCTAAGACCTGTGGGTCTGATCAGAGGGTTGTTGGTACTTCTAGTAAGCCAGCAGAGCGTTTGAAAGGGGAATTGGGTCTGCCCTGTGGAACGTGCAGTGCTGTGGGAGGGAAGGAAGCTCCACTTGAGCTTTTCCTCCTTGAGCCCTGGAGGGGGGCTGTTATTTAAGCTGGGCAATGCAGCAGGGTTAAGTGACCTCTTCTGGGCAGGAGCTTTCAAAAGCCATATTGGGTGGGCCTGGCAGCCTTGTTCTGCCTGCTAAGCACTTAATCCCCTCCTGTCCAGTGCGCTCTGCTTAGCGTCCATGATGCAGTTTTCAGTGTTCCTAGCTTTTTCCCCTCTCCTAATCCCTGTAATGCTGCAGCCAGTCAGTTCTGAGTTCTTGTCAGCTGGAGCTCACACACTGCATGGGAAGGAGATGGGGAAATGTTGCTTGTGGTTGGGCTCCCTGAGCAGCTGGGCCTAACTCCTTCCTTGCTATCAACTGCTGCTTCTCCGCCTTCCTGTGAAAAGGGGTGCCCAACAAAATGGCTTGGGTATAAACTATGGTTTAACAGTTACTTAAATCTTTTATTTAAAAGATACCTGCCTTGTGCCTTCACCAACTGAGTTCTGTATAAAGGCTCTGTGGGAGTGAATTCCCTGGAATACCTGCTCCAATAGCAGGTGCCCATAGGGTGCTATAGTAAGCTCTGGCAAACAGCGTTTACTGTAAGGCTGTGTGCAGGGCTCTGTGTGCCATTTACCCATATGCTTTCATTGCTATTTTGGGACAAGCTGGCTCAATCATTTCTGCACCAGCTGGGACTATATCCTAGTGAGCAGCATCCCCAGGCATGGCTGTTACCTTGAAGTAATATCTTAACGATAGAGTATCCATAAAATTGCAGAGTACCTACTTTCTTGTATTTTAAAATATCTAACTGCTTTCTCTGCTGCTTATGAAACCCCTGTTGCTCCATTCTCCTTTGTAGAGAAGGAAGATGCCATTTTCCCTTGAACAGGGGGTGGAAGAGCTTCCCAAAGTAAAAGCACTCCTGTTCCAGGATTGACAGCAGTATGTGCCCCTTCAGTGTTTCCTCAAAGCAGTACTTCTGATAATGGTCTCCCTTACACAGAAGGGGACCTAGCCAGTCCCTTTTTAGGAGTAGGCTGTGTAGGGATATGTGTGAATAATAGTGTGCAAGGGGATAGCTCTGTGCTGCCTGTTGCAGCTCTGATGAATGAGCTGCCTTGTTAGATGTTTAGCTGTGTGTCCCAGAGCCCAGGACACTATACAAAGCAGGTCTCTTAACCACATTGAGGTCACTGGTGCTTGCTTTTTATTGAGCCTTGGCTGTAATGACTGAAACTCTGTGCACCTATTCTTTAGGTATCTGAAATTTGTTTGGCCACTTTCTGGTTTCACTCGGTCATTTCTTTGGCCTTGACTACTTCTGTTGGTGGTTTTGTGGGGATGCTCAACTGAATTCATAACAAATACAGCTCTAAATACCCGTAACGCTGCTGGCTGCTCTTTCCCAAACACTCAGCTGCACTGCAGTATCATCTGTAGCTGAACGCTGCACCTGCACATCTTGGAAGCCACGTGTGTCCAGGCAAGCCTGAACAGGACCCACCGCCAGGGCCTCTGTGCTGGTTGGCAGCAGGTAGAAACCACGCTGGCAAGACTGGCAGCCAGCAAGAGGGAGCATGAGGCTGTCCTCATGGGAGTGCTGGGGTGTGTGGCAAGTCTGTGTGTCTTTACCACCCAAGTGCAAGGTGAGAGGAAGAGTAAATGGATGCTTAACTGGATGCACCACCCAGCGTGCCAGGCAGGTAACTTCCATTTCATCAGCGCTGGGTGGAGGCTGAAGCAAAATTAAAGCAGTGTCATGTTGTCATGTACTTGCTTGACTAGCAATTAGCAAGAAGGATTGCTATTGTGTCACAGGATTGGCAAGCCCTTTAGCTTGATGAAGACACCTAGGTAAAATTTGTTCTAGTTGTTTGTGCCTTAAACTAGAAGAACTCCTATGCCAGTGAAGGAATTCCCTCCATACGTGCCAGTGTGCGCACTGAGACTTGGAACAGAGGTATCTTGTGGCTGGTCCCTACCACAGCCAGAAAGAGATGGTGTGGCAGGAAACTCCAGCATGTTTATGTCAGCAGAGTGTGAATGCATCACTGTGTGTGTCTAGCAGAAGGCAGCATCTGATGTTCAAAGGTGGACACTTGAAGGGAATCACTTACTAGTGAAGTGCTATGCTTTTAGGTTAATAAAAGGCATAGTTGGCCTAAAACTCACAGGCATCAGCTCAAGATGTCTGCTTATGGCCACAATGCTTAAGGATCCCATTCAATGCCCAGTCTACAACTCCAACTTGTCTACACTACTGTTACAGGTTTGCAGGATGGAAAACTAAAAGTTCTGTGTATTTACTTTTTTTCAAAGTCATATTTCACTAACACCTTGGTGTTGTCTGCAAACGTACTGAGGGTGCACTCAATTGGCTTGTCCAGATCATTGATAAAGACATTAGTTTAAATTAGTATTAACAGACTAGTCCAAGACCTCTTGTCACCAGTTTGCAACACCTTACAGATCTCAAAGGTGGGAAAAATCTTTGGACATTCTTTTTTAGTCAGTAACTGTTATCAATGGACATTTACTTGACTATATTTAATGATGTTATAAGACAGACGTTCAAAGCATCTTAGAACCTCAGAGTAAGGCATGACTTCCTCACCAGCCTTTCTCTTAGATTTATGAAGTATTGCAGTGCTATACCAGATACTGGTTTCTTTCACTGGAAGTCTAAAATCCCAATTTTTGTATTCAAGTAGTAGTATGCAGGAAAGGTCGAGAGCTGCTGGCTGTGAGGCACCACAAACAAAGGAAGACTAGTTCCTCCATAGCTCTATAATGCAAGAAGATTGGGTCTTATCGGACAGTAGTTTCCCTGTGCTTTTATTATTTAATGTCTTGTATAATGCCGATTCAGCCTTCAGTGTTGATCTACATCTGGAAATTAACAATGATACAGACTTTAAATTCTCCCTCACAAACCCTGCTCTACAGACCCAGTGTTTGGAGGGACAAATGCTGGACCCTTGTTAGGGAAGGTATAAAAAGGTGGGGGTTGGAACAGAAATGAGCCTCGGGGAGTGTTGCCTGTAGAGTGTGGTACTTTAAATGTAAAACACTTCACAGAACAGATAGTAAAGGTGATGTCTATCGCTTTCTAAGTCTTTGCTTCATACTCTCCTCTCCTCCATTAACAGAAACCCAGAATCAAGATGTGTGTATAATCAGAGGTTGAAAATGAATCACTTTTTTCTTTCAGTGGCCGCTTATAAAATGAGGAATTTAATATTGCACGTACTCTTATCAGAGTTCATTGCTGACTGGCCGGCAGTATCTACATGGCATTCAGCAGCCTGTCTGTTTGCTGTCTGAAAGATGGAAGGATGAAATAGTGAAGACAGCAGATCACTGGAAACAGTCTTTGAAATACTGCCTGGAGCTACTAGTTATCTGTAGCCTCACTGGTGCTAGATGTGTTTAACTATGTGAAAGCTGATGTGCAGAGGGTTGGGATTGGAAATATTGTAGTCACTAAAGAAAGAATGAAGGCATTTAAGCAAGGTATCTCCCTGTTGCTAAGGAAGTAATGACTTTTTCCACTTCTAAAAAAAGCACAGCTTCAGTGATGTGTTAAGAGGCTGTGCAAACCAGGCATTAATATGTTGTCATTGGGAGCTTAAAGCATAACTTTTTTTTTTTCTTTAGAGAAAGAAAGAGAAGAGCAAGAAAAGAAGCAAAAAGAAGAGCAAGAAAAGAAGCAGAAGGAAGATCAAGAAAAGCAGAAGGAAGAGCAAGAAAAGCATCGGAGAGAAGAGCAAGAAAAAACTGTAGAACACACTTCTGTAAAGGAAGCAGACAAAACCAGCCGTACAGGACGACGTCCGAGTCGAAGTGCCTTGTCCAGTCGTAATGATCGAAGATCAGCCAAAAGTCCTCAAAAGACAGATGCACCAAAGGAGAATAAACACCCATTTGCCCTGTATGGGTGGGGAGAAAGGCAGACAGATACTGGAAGCCAGAGAACTCACAATGTCTGCGCTTCTGCTTCAGCAAATGAAGTAAGTGAAAGCTTCTGTTTCATTAAGGGGCAGTGACTGGTGCATGGGTAAGACATAAGTCTAATATCTAGGTAAAACTTCTCATGGATGCCTTTATTTGATTGTATGAAGATTCTAGCAATGAATTATCAAAAAAAAATAATCTAGCAAGAAACCTGAAGAGGTTTGACATGTCCAAATCAAATAGCTTTTAAGTGTCCATCAGTTTTGAAACTTCCCATGTTTGACTACTAGTTTCAAGTGCTGATTAAAACTTGGCTGTCTTGTTTCTGGCTGTTACAGCGCTACCAGAAAAACTGGCTGTTAGAAATGTATTTCTGCATTCTGAACTTCATGAAAACTGGAGAAAAGCAGCAGGCAGTTAGCAGCAGGCATCCCACAGCAGGCAGGTATATAAACACTGGGGTAGAGCTCGTGCTGTGAAAGAGTTTTGCTGGGGCGCCCCGGAGGAACGGGAGCCTCACTGAGAAAGGTACAAATGCTTTGCTGCTGAAATGCCTGTGTGGCAGCCTCTTTCAGCGGGTTGGCAGCAGGGCATGCTCTCCTGACAGCAGAATGGTCTATTGGATGGCTGATGGGTTGCAGGGTTGATATAAATATTAGCAAAATAGCACAAATAAAATTCATATGGTCATGGACAGCACCAGGACTCCACTGTAGTGGGATCTGTTTCCTGGCTTAGCAAGAAACACTAGGGCTGGAGTGTTAGAAGAGATCCATTTCTTTCTTTTCTATAACTCCCCATGGCTGCTAAAGCACAGTCATCGTGTCCCTGCCAGTGTCTTGGCTTTACCTTACTACTAATGGAGAGTCTGAATCTCTGACCCAAGACATCTGAGGATTAAGGTGGGTGGTGTCGATGTGTAAGACAGAGCTGACTTCTGATGGGCTGTTCTGGAAGGGGTTGGAAGCACAGTCTTTTCCTGCCTGGACAGCTCAACCGTTGGAGGAAAATGAAGAACCTGGGCCTTGCTGCTCTTGAAAGAAGCTGCCATTCCTGATGATGGGTACTGTTACTGGGTTGATAAGCTTTGGTCAGTGGTGGACACAGTTGACTTGTGCTTTATGTTGGAGCCCAATAGGCTGATGCCTGACTTGAGCAGAGAGATTTATACTTCCTCTAACATTTCTTATGCTAGAAACAGTTACAGAACCCCTAAAATCAGACCTTGAGCTCAGAGTGAGTGGGCAGGATGCTTCTCAAACACTTCCAGTTGTGTAGTGCTTTGTCACAGTGGGAACTGACTACTTGCTGCCTGGTCACGTCACTTTTCTTGACTGTTTGATAGCTGTTATTTCCCAATAATTGAGGATGGGAGACTTGAAATCTAGAGATAGCAGGCAAACACAGAAGCTGGCTCTTAAGATTTTTTTTTTATATTAATAAATTATCATATTTTCCTCAAATTTAATCTATGTATATTTGCCTGCAGCATGTTGTCAAAATTAAGTTCTGTGGTGTCTCGGGATTGGTCTTACTACTATGGCCTAGGTTTTAAGGGATGCTTGGGCATATTGAGGGATGGTTAAGAATTTTAAATGATAGAAATAAGGGAATTGAGGTTTAGAGAATGTCAGAGTAAGATTGAGAAACAAGATTTTTGGAATTGTTTAATAGTGTGAAGTGGGAAAGATAATGCAGAATGGAATTTGAGGCATTTTTTTAAGAAAAAATATCTGTGCTTGTACCACTTTTGTAATTAGTGATACAAATTGTAGGAGAAAATATAATCCTGCTAGCAAATCTTGTTTCTTCAGGATGGGGACTGGGACAAATACAAAGCGATCCTCCGTTTTCCTGGAGGATCCTGAGGAAGTTCCTCGGCTGTTTCCCTGCTGTAATACTAACTCTGGTCTTCCAGATCCATGAATCTGCTCTGCGAGCCAAGAACAGGAGACAAGTGGAGAAGAGGAAGCTCTCTCAGAGGCGGGTGCGCTCAGCGGCAGAAGCAGAGAAGGGCTGGCGGATAAAGCCCTCCCCGCCAGACAACCCCTGGATGACAGAGTACATGAGGTGCTACTCGGCCAGAGCCCGCTGAATTTGCCTTCCCTTCGGCGTCTTCAAAAGCAGTCACGCATATCAGGACACTGGTGCAAGGAACCAAACTACTTATGCAAGGTTTTTATAGGGAGTTTCCAGCTGTTAAAATATTTATAACGATATTTTTATCTTGGCTACCTACCTCACAGTGGGGTGTATTGTTGGAGCCATAACATTTGAAGAGGCTTTGAAATATAACTACCCAAACTTTTAAACAATTCCCCTTTTGGGAGTCTTTCTATTGCTTCAGTTGACTTGTTTTGGGGTGGGAGGGGGGAAACTTAGCAGGCAGGGAGACCAAGCAAACACTTTTTTGATCTTGGTTACAAATAATCTGTTGTCCCTTATTTTAAAAGTCCAAGTCATGGGGAGGTGGTGTTGGGGAAAGGCTTTAAAGGTGTGACGGAGGTGCCTTTGCATTTATAGTACTATTTGATTTAAAACTTTTACCAAAATAAGGATATTAAGACAGGCAACAGGAAAGCCAGTGGGTCTGGCACACAGCACTAATAAATGTAGATGCTCTAGGCAAACAAATACCAAGTATAGCTTGTATATAGAAACTTTCAAAAAACCTTGTTTGATTAGTGAATCTGCTGATGTGAACTTCTATTGCTGTTTCTAAGGTCATTGGAACAAACTACAAATTTTCAGGGCAAGAAGCAGCCACAGGATTGTTTTGCTGTTGCTGTGCCTGTTGTACCAAATAACTGATGTAGACAATCATCTGAGAGCTGCTGCTCGATGAGCAGCCGCTGGTTCTACCAGTATCAAGTTGTGCCACTGTATTGAGCTTGTGTTCGCACTTACTTCACGCTTCATCGTGTAAATGCCAGTTTATTGAAGGAGAGGGCTGGCTCCTGTCTAGTGAAGTCTATTTTTAACACTTAAGAATATCTATTATACTCAGTGGGGGTCAGAGTGCAATATGCATTCCGTTTGGTGGTATTGTACAAGTATACTATATAAAGTTTTTAAACTTGAAAATCGTGTTGATAAAACTTGTAGATGAAGTCCTGAGATGCTTTCTCCCTCTCCAAATTGGTGCAGGACCCCTCGCTATAGGGGAGTGAGGGTTAGGGGAAGAGGGAGAGGTGCACCTTTTAGTAAACAAGAGTATATCATGGGGTCTGAGCACTCTCACACAGTAAGACAGTTGTTTGTGAGATCCTCAGTGGTGTGGTGGTGTGGTTTTTTTTTCCCCTCCTCAAGCTGCTGTAAATTATTTTTTTTTCAAATTTGGTAACTAAGCTTTAGGCAGATTATTGCTGTAGTTGTGAGCTTCGAAGTTTTGTTCAGATGTGTTGTGTGTTAGTTACATATGTTGGTTATCTCAGTTTCATTGTTTGGAAGCTTGTGTTTTACAGAGGGGATACTTTCTCCCGGGAAGCACACTCGCACTGCTGCAGCAGACACCTGCACGAGGCTCAGCTGCACTCCACAGCCTCCCTGAGTAAGCAGGGCTCCAGAATTACTACTGCAACACACACAGTTACAGGCTCAGTGAAGAGTTTGGTTGTGTTACTGACAGAAAGTAATCATGCCAAGGGACCAAACACTGCTGCCTCCTAGAGTTAATTACATTGCATCAGTAAAGGTTTCATTAATCTCACATTTAATCTTGCTAAAATGTCCTGAAATCTACGAAATTATAATCTGATTTTTTACCTGCCTTTTAAGCAGGAAGCTATAAAAATACAGACGCTCTTGTTCAGGCTACCTATTAGAGTTGTTACAGCTTTTAAGTCAGGGAATGTATGTAAAGTATGATTAAGTATGTTACACACAGCAAAATTATTGTATTCCAACTTTTAAGTAAACCCAGGTTAGAACTTCTGTTTGTTTTAAACAGTGCCCAAAACTGAGTGAAACTATTCCAGAGAATGCCTTTATTTCGTATGAGACTCCTGTAACTTCCTTTTGTGCTCTGTTTTCCTCTTTAAGTAGCTGCTGTAAATATGTTTAAGTTGCTTCTGCTGCTGTCGCAATTCAGAAATCCGCTGTAGCTTTGAACAGCAGTATCAAAGCAGCAGCTCAGTCGTGTTTCACAGCCTTATTCTGTACAAACCCCGCCTGTTCCTGTGGCCCAGAACAGCGCGTACACCTCTGCCTCTGTGGGCTCTGTGCCACTGCTGCAGAGGGACTGTGCCCTCGGCGCGTTTCCTTGATGGTGCAGGGCAGGACTCATCTTGGTGTCCTTTCAAAGGCAGCTTCTGCTGTTCTCTTCCTGCTGAGAATGGAGAGGCCAAGATGACCATGTGCCTGCCTTAAGGACCCATTCTGGATAAAATTAATCTCCCATCAGATGTTTCCAGTAACTTCTATAGAAGGCTTTAATGTCTTCTGCCTCAGATACCAGGTACCAAATTTAAAACATCTCAAACAGACTTGTTCAGGTGATCTACAGAGCATGAGACTCTTCAACAGCATCAAGGTTGCTTTAAACTGAGGAAATGATCTAGTTCTTATCCTTGTCTGGTCAAGAGCTGTTCCCCACCAAAACAATTTGGTAGATGTTAATCAGGTCATGTTAAGCTTTTTCAAATGGTCTGCAGCTAAAAATGCCCCTGGTGCTATGTAGGTACTATCTAGGTTTAAGTAGTAAAATGCCTGAAGTGAGAGGTAAATGATTCTGCAGATCAGGTAGCCTTCCTGCATTTGGGCATGATTTGACTAAAAAAGGCAAGTAGGTTTGCTTTGACAACGTGAAACAGTGTAGTTCTGAGAACTATATGCAAAATGTTTGGCATGTGCCAGGCTGAAGTCTGGAAAACCCTTATTTTGGTGTTTTGATGTTAATAAATGAGAAGCCAATTGACTTGGAAGGTAGAACTTTTCAGGTGTAAAAGTTTTAACTGTATTCTATAGATTCTTACAGGAGGTGGCTGTTTTATGCATCAAATTGGACTCACTGCAAATGGAAAACTTAGTGAATGGCACCCTATGAATGAAGGCAGTTCTGAACCTTGTTTTGCATGGACTCTTGAATTTGGCCAAGTGATGAACTTGTCTCACTCCTGTTTTAGAAGTAACACTTTGTAAGAACACAGTAAATACTCAGTTGTCCAAAGTCTTCATTAGAATAACTGTTTATTCTTTTTTTTGTTTCTGAAAGTACTTAGCTAAGTGAAACAAGACTTTTACAATGTGTAATGCTGCAATTTAACTATAGTGTTGTGGAGACTAGTGTTTACCATGTAAAATGTTACACTGCGCCCTGCGTGGGATGTCCCCGTGCAGGGGAGCAGCATGCCTGCTCACTCGCTGCTCTCACTTCTTTGCAGCTATCAATTACAGATGTGTTTGGTTTTTTTCACTGGAAGCTGAGATAGGCAAGCTGGTTATCTAAACTTACAGCCAAATTTAACAAAACTGAGACAGACCTGAATTTTTTGGTGGTGATTTTATCCAGGCAGAAAATGCACATTTTAATCAATTTTTTAACACGTAGGGAAGTGTAGCTGTTCTCATTTTTTTTAAGGTATAATGCAGTGCCACTGAACTATAAAGGCCTTGCTGAATTTTATTATTTTTTTTAACTGTGATAGGGACCAAAAGCTAGCAATCTGAGGGCCTTAGGTGTGGTAACCTGGATGTCCCAGTTGATTTTCCAGCTCAGTTCGTGCACTCAGCAGCAAAGCCATATATGGAGCCTGATTCAACACCTTGACAGCAGATCCTATAAAATTAGGGGTACAAGTAAAGGGGAAGCTGCCTCAGCTGTTGTTAGCACTGAGTTCACTTTAAAAATTATAGGGGAATACCATCTAAGCTTGAAGCAATATGTGTTTTTTAAAGTTTTTAAACAGTATTTGTTTTTAATGCTTCTGTATTGTCTCTATTTAATAGTGTAGTGTCAACTTGTATATGTGAATAAAATGAGTGACACAAAGTGCCTTGACTGCTTGTACCGTGGCTTTTGGGGTCTCAGGTTTTCCATTACAGGGTGCTTTAGTCTCTGGATGCAGACTGTGGCTTCTGCTGGGCCCCGGGCGCTCTCCTGAAAGGTGAGTGAGGGGCTTCTGTAGAGACTGGCGTTGGGTGGGGGTTAGGTGACAGTTACACATCCAGCTGAGAGCTGAGCTTTCTCCTGCCCTCCTCCTGTAACTCTCCCACAGATTCTTAATACCCTTTCCCCATCTGACTGGCTTTTTCTACCACTAACAAGATAAAAATAAGAGGCTAAAATATAATAGCTGTCTGAATGCTAGGTGTGCTGAAGTGCATGCCGAAGCCTTGGGGGAATCTTTATTTAGAACTCTGGAAAAAGAGGGTAACATGGGAAAAAACAGGAACCTCTATCTCTAAGATCAAGTGTAATCTTGCAAAGAGGAAAGCCTGAGCTGTCAAAGGATGGCTACACTGAAGTAATTGATGCTGCTGGTTCTACAGTAAGTGAAGGAAACAAAGCTACCTGTTTTCATACACTCTGTAGATTTACAGTGTATTTCTTGAGATTTTTATAGTGTTTAATTACTCTAGCATATAGAATATAATGCAAATGATTTGCACAGAGTAATCAGGCTTTTTTATAGCATTCATTTTTTAAGCTCTTATGGGAGCTGTTGACTTTTGAGCCATAGGATAACCCAGTCGAATACAACGAATGGACAAGAGATGTGTCAACTGTGAACTGCCTGATAACCTGGAGAAGTTGTAAGTGCAAATCCATTCTGTATTTCCTACTTGATTTTCTCCCCTTGTTTAATGCTTAAAAGAAGCTAAACTTCTGAAGGCACGTTCTCCAAGACATCTAGACAGATCCATCTGGGACAGACACAAGCAAAGTAAGTGCACCTTTGCAGCCATAACCTCTCTAGGACACGCAGAAGGGAAGTGATGTGGTGTTCCTCTCTAACGGGGCAGCACCATCAGTGGTGCAGGGTTGGGGCCCTCTCACGCCATGGGCAAAGCTGCTTCCAGAGAGCACAAGGAGGGCCCTGCTCCTGGGAAATACACTGCAGTGCTCCAGCTCCCTAGGCCCACACTGCCACTAAATTCACTGCACAGCCAGTATGATCTCACTCCTGTCATGTTACAGACTTCACTTACCAGGCAAAACCTGTACAAGGAAATAACAGAATTTGCTATGAGACACCTAGAAAATCAAGAAAGATTCTTTATTTGGTGCTAGATACAAGCATTAAATGAAATAGTGTAGGCCAACAGACTGATTAAAAGGCAAGACATAGGCTTTAATAAGACATTTAAATCTTTTTAAAGATCTGAACAGCTAAAGCTCCACATCCAATAAATTCTAGGATACAGGTACCCAGTATTATTTAATGTAAAACTCCAAGCCATCTCGCTTTGGTAAAGTATGAATTTTACACTAAAAACATACATAACAACCTATTTATCACTTACTGTTTAGGTGAGCTAGGTTTGGGTTGCTGTTTTAAGCTAAAGCTTAAAATCTACTCTAGGGCTGATATTGACATGATGTTTATTTTTAGAAATTAAAAAAAAAAACCCTCAGAGGAGACACAGTAAACAATACAGCTTGCACTGGTGAGAGCTATTGCTTCCAACAGTAGTTCCCTCAGCAGCTGCGCTTTTAGAAAGTTTCTTTTTAAAGTGTCAGTAGATACGCATAAAAGGTTGCAATACTACAAAACGTGCACATTAATCTGGTTAATGTGTATACATTAAGAGTATACATTAAAAAAATGATAAAAAAATGTTAAAACTCATTATAATGACTCTATTCTGTCCTTCCAGGTAGGAAGGGGACAGCTTAAGACAGTTGGTTACAGGAAGAATAAAACTGTGCTTACTGCTTCTTGACCAAAATGATCATAAGAACTGAGTATACAAAAGAGGCCAGTCTTGTAGGTCAAGGGAAAAGGACAGGAAGAAGTATAAGAAAATCCCTGCCAAACCCCTAAAATTTCTATTTAAAAGCAATGGAATTGAGTAAGAGCCCCCTGTTCCTGTCAGCTGCTACTGTCATAGCGGAAAGTAGTATTGATAAGCAGCCAAGCCCCCTCCAACCATTGTAACAGTGACAAGAGAGACCTTAAGCTTTACTTGAGCTATGCCCCAGCTACACTGGTGTGAGTATACCCAGAAACCTGATTAGACTGTGGTAAGGGCAGGGAACAGACTTCCAAAAATATCCTCTTTTCCCAGCATTCCAGAACTGGTTTGGGGTTTTGGAACCAACACAGTCCCCTCCCCAACCCTGGTGGAAACACAACACATCTCAGTTAATACTGTGCCACTTGGACTGGTGGAGACAACTACAGCCACCATCTGCTTCCCAGGACTTGCTCTTGGTTATTCCTTCCAGTCCCGAGTAGTGGAAGCCAGAGTAAGTTGAGTGAAGATTACGACAGGTAAGTTCCTCTGGAGTTCTTTGACATTCTGGTAAATGCACAGTTAAGCTGCTTCAAAAATACATTACGCTCTTACCAGGAAGAGAATATTCCTTGGGAATAATTCTTATCAGTTACGTAGCAAATCCAATCCTAAATATTACACTATACATAGGAGAGAGCTGTAACATTGAAGTCTTTGGAACCAACAGCCTTTTTAAAACAAAACCTAGGCTTTTTAAGTACAAAGCAAACTTAATTCCTTTTAATCACATAAGGTGTACAATTTTCAGGTAAGTATCCATTTGAACCAAAAATGGCAGGATGAAGGGAATAGCTTTAAACACAATTCTAATTCCACAAAAAATGGTATGCCTGTTAGCACTCCTGCTTTGCTCTTGTGCTTTAACTGCCCTCTAAATTACAGCATCAGTTCAGTTTTCTGATTTAGTTTTCAAACATGCATTTGACAAGTGACCCTCCAAAAGCTTCATATATAGACAATAATAAAGCATGTTTGACTTGGAATTTCAATACTAGGTTCTAATCAAATTACTTTGTTTTAATTTGCACTTCCAAGGAGATGTCCCATTTCTAGTTTTACAAGTAGCCAAGTAAAAATACGATTAGTGATTTTCATCAGTGGAAGTGAAATTGCCCCTCCTCAGTTCAGCCCCCCCCAGAAACACTAGCTTAATTCTGCAGCTCCTTATCTGGCAAAACAAGCCACAGGCCTCTTACCTGATCAGTTGTCAGGGCACTGTAAAAGCGATAGGCAATACTTGTGCTTCAGTCCTCCCCCTTGGACCCTCTGCAAATTTCTTCCTCTTCTGTCTCCAGCTAAGGAATGAGGACGGGCTTCCTAATCTCTTGCCCCATGCCTCCTCCCCACAATAAAAAGAGGGAAGGAAAGAAAGCCTGAGTTATGGGTTTTAACACAGAAAAAAAAAAAAAAATCAGTACCAAGGCTGAAATTCTCCTTGATGAATTTCACAGGAAGAAAAACTACTTAAGTAGTACGCTTGGTTTTCCTTCCATCACACGAGTCTCCTGAGGGCAACATGGACAGTGCCACTCACGTGAAATTCAAAAGGTAGAGCTCCAGCAAGACAGACTGTAAGCTTCCAATTTTAAAGTCTAATTTTTAAATTCAAGTTTTTAACTGTAATTTATTAATGTCTAAGAAAAATAAAATAGTATTTTAAGTTTCATACATTCAGGATACTTCAGAACTCCTCATCTGGGGTATGCTTCAACACAGACCATACTTCCATAGCTCTGTGATAAGAGGTGAGGAGAGCTCCTACTGTGATCGTTCTCTGTAAGCCCCTGCCCTAGAATTACAACACACACAGAAGATGCACAGTTCTGTTCACATATACATTCCATCTTCATAATGCCAGTGCTACACAAAACATCAGAACAAGAAAACAGAAAATTCCAAAATCCAACTCAGTCAACTGCCATTTGAAGAGACTGAAAAGTATTTTTTCTAAACTTTTGAAATTTGATAAAAGAGCTTCAGAAATTATTTAAGAACTGCAATAGAACAGAATGTGTAAATGTCAATAAAAATAACATTTTGAACTTGACATATTAGTAAACCTAAATATGGGTCCTAACCATATGTTGAGAATATGTCAACAGCTTGTTAGAATGCAGCAAACTAAGTAGGAAAAATAAAACAACAACCTCTCTCTGACAGCGCCAGTGGTTTTATAATTCAGGTCATAAATATAAACTATTGTGCAACAAACAAACATGACAAAGCCTACCTCAGTTAAATTTGTTTATATGATAAAAAAATAAAATATTAAACTGCTTGTAGTGCAACATTCTATCAGCATACATAAGTATACCATGCTTTGTAAATTTACTATTACATTATTTACAGTATATAGCAATGCTTTAAACCAGAGGTGAAAGAACAAAACCAGGTAATGGAAAATTTTACATACAGCTATGAGTCTTAATATTGTCCACCAAATTATCAAGTTTGCTTTCCAGACTTGTGTCATATGAACATTCCTGCCCCACACCACAGGGTACACCTTTCTGTCAGCAGTGGTCTCCTCTGTTTATAGATAGTGGAAAGATGTTTTTAAAAACTGCATAGCCTTCAAGCTTTGTCTGTTTCTTCAAACGCCATTTGCAAGGACAGCTGTAAAATACACAAGAACTGCATCAATTATCTACATCTGATCAATCTGAAAATTCAGCTCCTGAAAAAAGATCAATATTCACTCCTGTAGTCATAACAAAACTGGACTAAATTAATGCCATTTTCTAGCAGTCTCTTAGTTGAAGGATGGTGTATTATAGAAAGAAAATAAGGGAGGAAAGCAGTTCAAGGATTCCTATCCCTTATTTAAAATTCTGAGCTTTAATTGGGAGCTAAGCTCCCAGAATACAGAACAAAATATGCAAATGCTTTATTTAAGGTTCTGTAAATCTTCTGCTGGTATGCACTGCTCGAACTGATAAAAAAGGAATACAGTAAAAATGATGCAGTAACTATGCCTGCAATACTTGTTTAATTTGATATCGCTGTCTTTGTATAAGCAGAATAAGGATTAATTATATAAGAATAATTAACTATGCAGCAATTCCTTAATTACCCTCATTAAGTGAGGAAGAAAGTGAGGGAGAACCACTCTGGTATGGTTTTAGGTAGAAAAAAAGCCAGTGGAAATTTGAAATCCAGTATTACCTTTAATTTTCAAGTCTCAATCTTTAAACTTTGTATTTTCAGAAAAGACAAGATACCACACTGTACATTTTGTGAAATCTCATTTCCAGTAATATTTTTCCATGATACAGAATAAATTATTAATCCCCTCTACAGTGCATTAGGTAACTATTAGGGCTATAATGCATTTCAGGAATACAGAATTTTAAAATGTTTTCCACAGCATTACTCAGAGTAAGCAAATATCTATAAATATTTCAATAAGAACACTAGTCTTGCTTTACTGGGGAGATGGTAGAAGAAAAATCAAAATATAAAAAAATTAATCCATTCTACTGTGCATTATTTCACTATATTCTATGTTACTTTACAGGCTAACTGAAAAAGCCAAGCCCTAGATACACATTTATGAAATACAGTAACACCCTCAACACCCTGAGATTTTTGTAACCTTACCTTCTGTATCTAAAGTGAGTATTTGGGGATTTGTGTTTTGTTTCTTTAACATCCACATTCTTGAGCACTTTGTGCTTGTGCTCTACGTGGTGATCTCAGCTGTCTCAAGGCAGCATCTCCATACTGAATACCTGAGCCCATTCTTTCTGGATCCAATTCTCCTGATGAGAAACAAAATGGTCACAAGAAGATGGATCACTTGCAAATAGTATATTCCAATTTAACTGACAACAACAGATAAAAATTGCATAATGTTATGGAGAGATCTATTGCAATTCTGTTTACTTTTAGGCAATTCCAAAGCTTTATCATTTTCTCCTGTAATTTCAACCATGTGCCCTTAATCATAGTGACAAAGAAGTCTGTCTCCAAGTTAGGCTGCAACAAGAAATGTATTTGCACTAAGTACTTCTAACAAAGAAAATGTCCAAAATGTTTTCTGTGAACACTTAAACCACACCTGCTTTCAGGGACTAATATGCAAAGAAAGTAGTAGTGTAGATACCAAGCCAAACAAAAATGGATTAATCTGACAGTGGGATTCCATAATTTCCTCTGGGGGCAGTGCTTTATCTCAAGCTTCCCTATTTCTGGTATCCATTTCTGCCTATTCCATACCCTGTGCCTTCAGAAATGTTCTTAAGGCTGTACAGTGGACTGGCCAAGATTAAAAGCATTTAGTCAAAAAAAAACCCAAAACCAAAAACAAACAACAAAACAAACCAAAGAATCCCTCTGAATAATTCAGATCACTTGGGTTCATTGCACATGTGAGCCCTCTGTAAGTTAGCAGATGACACCATGTTGATAGCTCAAGGCTGTCATTCAAAAAAGACCTTGGCTGAACTAAAGGAACAGGCCAGCAGGAACCTCATGAAATTGAGCAACTGCTGACGCAGAGCTCTGCACCTGTGATGGAACAACCCCAGCGCTGGCACAGGCTGAGGACTGGCCAGGGAGACAGCAGCAATTGGTTATTACTGGGACACGCTGCCCAGAGGCTCTCTGGAATCTCCATTCCTGGAGCATCTCAAAATGTGCCTTGACAAGCCCCAAGCTTGTGCTCTCACTTTGAACCTGAACGTTCTTTCAATAGGAGGCTGTTCTAGAAACAACCATAAGTTCTTTCCAGTCTCAATTTTTCTGTGATTCAATGCATGTGTGCTGGCACAGAGAACACAGGAGCAGCTCACAGAAAACAGGACTGACTTCTGCTGCAATAGTGCCTCTTTAAATCAGTCATGGAATTACAGTATCATGAGAAACTACCTATGCTTCGCCTTTTGGTTTTGGGTTTTTTTTGGTGGTTTTTTGTTTGGGGTTTTTTTTTGTTTAAAACGAAAGCTGCTGTTTGGCATTGATTTGATGCAGTAATCATGAAAATTCTATGAAAATACAGTATTATTTTCAACTAAAAATTTGTATTTGGCATTCAAAATGTGTAACTAGAATCTGAGACAGACTTTTCAATATGGCCAATATTTAAAACTTTGAAGGTACCAAACAAGTAGAAGAGGAGAGAGAAAAACTGGAATGCAAATTAGCTGTAATGACACCTAACACTTAAGAGCCTGTCTCTGATAGAAACCTGCCCACTTGCATTGAGAAGCTTCTGGTATATTTCTAGATCTGCAAAAGTAAAAATAGTTTCAACCGAGAGGCAGGAAGGTCGCTTCAGAGAAACACAGTTGCTAGGAAACATCCCTGAAATTTTTAGTATTATTGTTCAATCTCTTGACTGTATTTCCTGCTACATATGAGAAGCAGAATTAAAAGTTATGTCTTCCCTGATGTTAGGGTTTTATTCTGCATTGCTAAAACTGTCTGATGTCAGGCTTGATGCTTGTAGGGACATGGCAGGCTGAGAGAGATAGAGTTGTTCAGCCTGGAGAAGGCTCTGGGGAGACCTTATAGGAGCCTTCCAGCACATAACAGGGGCTACAGGAAAGATGGGGAAGGACTCTTTATCAGGGAGTGGAGTGATTGACGGTTTTAACCTGAAAGAGGATAGATTTAGATTAGATATTAGGAAGAAATTCTTTACTGTGAGGGTGGTGAGACACTGGAACAGGTTGCCCAGAGAAGCTGTGGATGCCCCATCCCTGGAAGTGTTCAAGGCCAGGCTGGATGGCACTTTGAGCAACCTGGTCTAGTGGGAGGTGTCCCTGCCCACGGCAGGGGGTTTGAACTCAATGATCTTTAAAGTTCCTTCCAACCCACACAATTCTATGATTCTATGACATAACAACCCACAGAGCCTACACTCAGAGCTGACTGTTAAGGTAAACACTTTGTAAAAACACCCATAGTTCACACCACCCTGTCCTTTTAGATATACAAATCTGACTTAGAAGTCCATTCCTTTTAAAACAGCAGTTATAAACCAAATGGGTTATTTTACCACAATGAAATTTTGGTTCTTTGGGTTAAGTCTATTAGATAACTTTGAACGGCAATATTTCCATGCGCACTTTTAGTTTTCAGGAAAAATTAAAATAATATAAATCTCAATTTACCTGATTCAATTTTATTGAGTATTTTTCTTGCACACTGTACAAAGGCCTCTTCAACATTTTCCCCCGTTAGTGCACTTGTTTCCAGGAACATCAGCTCTGCATTTGACACCAGAAAAACATTCTCAAAACAAGTCTGGAATATCTGATATAGTAATTCAAAGCATGAAAGCTAGGAACAATAAAAATTTTCTTAAGAAGAACTATTGTCAAGTAGTATTCCCTGGAAAAGTTAGCTTTTGATGGCAAAACCACAAAAAACTTCCCTTGAATTTATACACTAGCCCTCGAAAGTTGGAATCTAAAGATAATAACCTGGGCTATGCATGCAAAATAGAGCATGAAACTAAAGAACTTCATATAATTTCCCATTAACAGCAAGTCACAACAGGACAGCAGCCACAGTTGGTAGGAAAAGATATTTATAATTGATTCATAAAAGCAAAACCAGTTTTTACTGATGGCAGGACTGCAGCACAGAAGCTCAGACTGGCTTTAGCTGCCACAGAAACATGTCCTCAGATGGGAGATTTTGAATACTACAGACAATGTAATAGACCTCTGGATCCATGTCATGTCCTGAACTCAGTTTCCCATGAGTAAAACTTATGGCTTCCAACTGCAGCACACTCCACCCAACCTTGTCTGTGATCTATAGAATCTGTAAGATGCTGAAAACTAGGAAATCATGCTCTTCATTTTCTCAGTCCTTTGGAGGTAAGGCAATACCTGAAGTTGCATTACATTCCCTAGGGACTACATCTCTACACAGAAGGTGTTCTTTAAGTAGCAGCTGTGACTGGAAGAATCACTGGTAATGGGACTTAAATAGTACACGTAGTTCTCACTGCAGGCACTGTCCTCTCTCTAGGCCTCATGTACTGACAGAACTCTCTTTTTTGTAGATATCTGACAAGGTACAGTAGCAAAGTACTCCCTGCCTGCACAAGAAATAACTGTAATTACTAGGCATCTTTGAATGCTACATGAAGATTTATTATTACTTACCATTTTCTTGTGCAAAGCGGGATGCTTCTAAAAAAGTAACTTCACGATCTGCATCAAGATCCTTTTTGTTTCCACACAGTATTATCACAATATTTTGACTTGCTAACATTCTTGCATCCGTCAACCAATTAGTAAGTGCATTGTAGGTTTCTCGGCTATGTAGAAAATGACATCCCTTATTAGAACAAACTCATTTCTCATGAACAGATCACTTAACTCAGAAGGAAAATCTGTATTTCTGGCAAACAACAAATTGCTGCTAGTCAGGCAAGTCACCTATCTCAATATGCCAGCTATGAACTGGGAAAAGTATCAAGATCCTTCACGAAGCTATTTAAAAGCTTAAAGTTTTTAAAAAGCAAAATGAAATTATCCACAGTATATAAATAAATACACACAATTATAAAATTATAAAATGCCCTGTTAACGCAAAAAACTAAAATTTTAAGCACTAATCTAGTTTCAGCCTTTTGTGCATGAAATTTTGGGATAACAGAATGAGTTATTGTTTAATGTGGAATTCAACTGATACTTAAGTTTCAGGTGAGATTGTAAGAATTTACCACACTTGTGCAGAACTGTGTGCCTGAACTTTCATATTTGAGTCAAAACCAATAATATCACAGGCAGTTGCCTTGCACACACCATTAGTCATCGTAGTGGTGGTTAGAGATAAGACCCTTGAGCAGTAAGACTGACAGAAGAGTCCAGCTGTCCTTAAGCACAAAACACAGATTTCAAAGACTGCTCAGAGAACAGCTGGCTCACAGGACAAAAAGTAACACATCAAGCAAATCATTATTAACCAACATAAAACTTATCTGACAAGTATCAGTCAATCGTGGCCAGAAAAGATGTGGAAATCTGTAATGGTAAGGTATTCTATTGGCTGCCTACAATATTAAAATATTGAAAGATGCAGAGATGAACAGAATTTTGGGCTACAGTTAAGGAATGTGTAGGTAGAACTAGTTTCTCCAGAGGATCACCTGTAATGCCAGCATACTAATAAGCAGTTTCCACAATTAGGGATGTACCACCTTGGTTAAAAGTCGCTAAAGTCTGCTATTAGTTTCTGCCGCAAGGCTTCCTGAGCCAGTGGTGGCACGTAGTCCACCGTGATTAGAACAGCCAGTGGTGGGACAATTTCCATGTTTATTTCTAACCTGTTGAGGCTTTATATTTATGACACTCACAATATCTCATGTAAGCCAGTTCCAAAACTTAAATACGCACTAAAACAGAAGTACTTTTTATACTTCTGTTCTTCCTGCCCAGTCTCTCTTAGAGGACTATGTGCTTGGGAAGGAATCATTATGTATTCATTGTATCTGGTAGTCTATCAGCAAGAGAGTTGCTAGCCTTCTTACCTGGTTATATCATAGACAAGCAAAGCACCTGCAGCTCCTCTATAGTAACTCCTTGTTACAGACCTGAAATAGAATCACAGACGTACATTTCTGTAATATCTTCATTGTTTCAAATCTGGCTTAATATAATGCAATCTATATTATGAAACAGAATTGTCATTTACCTATTTAAAATAAAACGTGTTTTTTAGACATCATCATCTGTGCAGCAGCAGACTATTTACAACTAGACTTTTGACAAAGCACTAGCACTAAATATAGCTGTACAAGCATTCTCAAAGTCCCTTATGCCCTGTGTGCTGCTGACCATCATACTACATGGCCTGATGCAAAACCGGAAGCTGATGGTGCTATCTGTGGCTTAAGAACAGCATAAATAACTTATGTTTGAACTCTCAACAGCGAGGAGAGAATGAGCAAAGTAGCTGTAATTGAACAATTAAAGACTCCTTAAATTGAAGGGGAGACAAGCAAAGCAAAGCATCCTTCAGAAGGTAGAGGAAAAATTAAAAAACTTGCTAAGTACGCAGAGGTGTGATCCGCCTTAAAAAGAAAAGAACTATTTAGATTATAAAAAAGCAACAGGAAAAAGGGACCTGCAAGTCTGTGAACTCTTTGAACTTGAAAGGGCGGAATTTGCACAAGCCTCAAAGTTCAGAGCCTCCAAGCTCCTCAGAATGCCAGGATAACTGGCTAACACACTGAAAAGATCTCATTAATGAAGACTACACAGCACTGCCCAGCTTTACCTAGTCACAGATCTATCCAAAGAACTTGTCTAACAGCGTACATTTGCCTGGATTGCTGCCTATTACTCAGACTTCTACCCTACCACTATACTCACCTTTGTCAATCACTGCCCCCAGCCCCCAAAACAAAGAAACCTCCCCCTCATACTCTCCCCCCCAAAAATATAAAAAAAACCAGTGTCCTATTTGATGGTGAAGGTACTCAGGAATACACTGGATCTTTACTGAGTTTGATCTATGCCTCAGATGTATGACACAGCTAACATACAGCATTAAGAGTACATTGGGGGTTCTAAGCTGACAAATACAATGCTTTTTCTTTAAGAAACTTAAGACATCTCAGTCTTTCCAGAAGTGGATTTAGCCAAGTGAAATTGACAGCTGATTTTTTTCCCCTTTAGTAAAATAACATTCTATTATGAATTTGCTCTCATGCAGATTTTGAACAGCTTACAACTTCCTGGCATTTACGTATTACAACCAATAGAAGGTCTTCTAAACACAGAGTTAAGCACACACAGTTAATTAAAAAAAAACTATTCTGAGTTTGGCTGGTGAACAAGCTTTTAGCCACATTTTCTACTTGTATACCTTATCCATCACAGAAAATACCCAATGAAAGGGCAGAACCTCAGATCCTGCAAGGCAGCATTGCTTTACTGAAATCAATGGATCTATGTCGCTATGTTCAAGTTGGAAGATCTGGCCTAGTTAATAACATGAAAGCAGGCAAACAATTCCACTCATCAAGAAACTATGCCTTCTTATAAGCAGGGATAAATAACACCCAATACCCACAGCAACAATTTAATAACAAACATTAATAAAATGATTGAAAAAGGTACCTGAATCTCTCTTGTCCTGCTGTATCCCATATCTGCAATTTTACATATTTACCACCAACATTTATGATCTTCGAACCAAATTCCACTCCTATAGTATGATTTGAGTCATCTTTGACTACAAAAAAAAAAAAAATAAAACCACACTTACTTGGAGAATATAGCAAATAATTAGTTTTTACATAATCTAATTTAGGTATAATCAAAACTCCTCAGTGTTCAAATGACAAACTATTTCCTGAACCACCAAACTCAGTGCCACTCATAAGTGTACTGACACCATGCAGAAATAAATATTCTTACAATTCTTGAACAGCTTCTGCTATTCAAAATTGCTACTAGGAAGGCCTGCCTTAATTAAATCATTCCCAGTTTACATTAATAAGGGGCAAGAAAACTTTTGTACACTTTTTTTTCCAACTGTGTTTTCTAATACTTTGATGCGATTTAAAATTAAAATGCTTGGAAAAGCAGAACATAAAAAGACACAGTCTTGCCCATGAATAAGCAAGAGCTACTTCTTTAAAACACAAAGTTAAGATACTTGCTTTATGTAGACTATTGATATCACAGATTCTCAGCAATATATAACTGCCCTTACTAGAAGCAAGGTCACGGTTCAAGTTCAATCACAGAATCGTGCCATGTTCCTTAATGATTACACATTATTACCCTAGAGCTATTCCTCGAGAGATAAGGTGAATTACTACCATTTGGTTGAGAAAGATAAGAGTCACCTTAGATTTATAAAGGTTTCTAAATGTGTATTATTTTTGTTTAATCATAATGCTAAATGCACTACCTAACAGGAAATTTTCTATCATCTATTTATCTCAAAATAATATTTACAATGGAGTCTCTACCAGTACCTGTCATAGAACACAGTCCTTAACAAAGAACAGAGTGTCTATTTAGAAAGAGACTACAAGCTTTCTAAATGTACTTAAGCAATTCAACATTTCTTTCATCTGTTTAGTATTTTTTTCTAAATATCCAAGCCTCTACTATACATCTAGGGAAGCTTATAGCTGCAAGATATAATTCTCACAAGAAGTCTGTATTTTCATCACCATCCTATTATATTTACTTGAGAGCAATAGAAAATACAGCTCAATATCAGGCTTTTGATTAGAGTGATCAATACAGATTTACAGCATGATTCTGAACAAAGTTCTCAGTCAAAATTCTCATCTATACAAATAAGAGAATTATGGAAACTTCAACACAAAGAACAGATACTCATGTAGGCAAAGCCTTCAACTGTGGTATAAAGCAATGGAGAACTCTTACTGTGCTCAGGTATACTTACATTTCTTCTCAATAAATTGGTGTAGTAAACAGGACTTTCCAGTTCCAGCATTTCCTATGACCAAGAATTTAAACAGGAAATCTGAAATTTGAAAGACAAAAAAAAACATTTGCCATATTTTAGTATGTACTTGTATTTTTGTCACAAGACCAGCTATTCCCTAGTAACTGCTATTTCAAAAAGCAGGGAATAGATGACAAAAATAGCAAAATAACAATAAATCTGAAGAATAACCCACAGTATTCAATTGTGATGTTACAAACTAAGAGTTAAAATGCTATTTGTTTATGGAGATACAAGAATGAGGAGAAGAGACGGAAATGACTGAACTTGAATTCAGTTAAAATAGGCTGAATTACAGGTATATGGTTGGTTTGTATTCCAGCAACCTGTTTGCAGGGTACGTAAGCTACTAACCGTGGTCTGTACAAATCCCCTATATAATGATGATGTTTCTTAAAATCTGTATGCCTTTGTACTAAAAAAAAAAAATATTGTATTTTTTATTTCATTAACATTAATTCGAACTTCTCTATATTGACTGATTAATATTCATACTTTATTTTAATACTTTTAAAGCTGGAACAAGTACAATATTTTTCTACAAAATTTACAGACAAAAATTAATTTTTATTCTGGAATGCCTGCTTTCACATTTCCTCCACAGGCTAAATTAAGATACAGGTATTTCTGGCACTTTACCTATTTATAAGCTATTTATGTCAGTATTCATTAGTAATACATGTATTCAAGATTTATGCTCCATTTGTATTAACAGTTACATATATCTGCCTCCCCAGATCTGCTTTCTGTTCAGCTGAAGACCAAAGAAACTTCCTTTTCTTACCACTGTCAAACATAAACACTGACAAACTGTGATTAGAAAGTTTACAATTGCTTCCCCCACTATATAGCCATCAAGGCATCCTTTAATAGTTCATGCAAGATTCACTATTTATTTTTCTACTGGCAGCATTTTTTTTTATTTTTACAGTCATCTTTACCACTTTATTGTATAATTTATCTTCCAAACATAGCAGGTCTCCAGAAGACATCAGGAGATGTCATGCAATGAAAAGGATTATGTTTACAATATCAACAAAAATTAAAAAGTAACATTTATTTAATTAACAGTGTTCAGAGCTGTCATATGGGTTACACAGATATTGGTCCAGTGGATAACAAAATAAAAAATAAATTAGACTACACTAAGCAAGTCAAAGCACTGATACATTACTCTATCAGAACCCTGTCTGAGCCTTTAGTTTTACAAAATGAATTTAACATGCACAGAAATCCACCTGCTCGTTTCATTTCATGCAGGAATTGTTACTTGTTATGGTACATCAAACACATCCCCTAGCAACAGTAAAAGCAACAAGCAAGTTTCTCATATGGTAACAAAATTCCCACTGTTGAAAAGTCAACAGCAAAACACGTAACTATGAGACCTGGGAACATCCACCATCCTTTGTCTTCACTCTCCAAATTTTATTAATATTTAAAATGAGGTACTGTTTTCCTACGGATTTTTACTTTTTTTTTTTCCATTTTACCCTGGCATGACTTTTCTTGTTCCAAATGTAGTAATAAGGTTGGTATAGATTCTACCCTTTTCAGAAAGAGTATGCTGTTTCTTGCTTACAAATATGACCATTTACACGCTCAAGACATTCTGTTCCAAACTCCTCTCATTCTTCACGCCCCCACCCAGCTGCTCATGCTTTCTGGATTTAAAAAAAAATAGTTACAAATAGAATTTTGCTTCAGGTTGTGAAAATCTTGTGTTCTGTTCTGTAAAGAAGGGCTCTTTATGTCACCTCAACTGCAAAACACACTGGAGCTGAGAATGCTTCGTTCTATCAAATGTTCATTCTTAGTATAAAATGTAGATATCATAAATAACCCCAAAGTGTTAGGTTAAGAAAAAATTCATCTCTGAAAGAAAGCCAAGTTTCTCTTTTTATGGACCAAATATCACTAGTTAGCTGCCTTGTGTACCTTTTTGCATATTTAAACTACTGTGGGTGTGCGTAATCTCACTGGTCTTACCACTTTCAGAGAGTTCCTTGAGATGTGAGATGTTCTGAGACATACTCACAGTTAAAATAATCTTTTTCTACTCTCTGCAGTTTTCCCAAAAATAAATCCAAAATTCTAGTTGAAATTCATTCTCCTATGTATCTGGTTGTCAGATTTTTTTCTTAAAAACAACTACAAAATTCAAGTCTACCTTCCTTTTTTCTATGGAAGGCTCATATTATTTACTGTAGCATAACAGCTACTGTGAAACCAAACCAGGACAAGAATAAAACCAAATCTCTATTCCTACACTAATTTGCTCTGTGATTTTAAGCATTGGTTGTTAAATGTGGTTCATGAAGCTACACTTGTGCAACCCACAAAACCATGCTGAACAGACAGGCTGTAGGCCAGTGAGAAATTGAGACAACAGTGTTGCTGTCAGGGACTGATCTGGAATAGCTTCAGAACAGCCGTGCATTTTTCCAGAGGTGTTTTAAGTTGATATTTTGCTCTGAAAGCACAAGTGATATTTGGGGATTTTATACTCATGTCTTTAAATTGATAACATATTCTGGAAGCACTTTATAATAGACTCCCAATTCCTGTCAAGTTTCTATTGTGCCAGACAACTTTAAAAGGGAATCCTTCCTACAAATAAATCACTTAGATGCCTACTCAATACATGCTTACTTAGTAGACAAAAAATATATATTTTCCTCTGGCAAAATAGCAAACAGGTTTTCTAAGGTAAAACTTGAAATGGCACTTACAATTACTTTGTTTACAATATGGAAGTAAGAGAAATATGGTTTATTCTACCACAGAATGGAATTATCAAAATCTTATAATAAACAAATCAAAACCTTTCTGCACCAAAGCAGGCCATATTTCTAAACACACGTAGATTCACAGAGTAAATGACAGTTTGAAGTTACATTCACAAATGTAACTGTACTTCTATCAGTTTAAACTCCCATTTCATGCAAATTGTTCAAAATAGCAAAAGACCTATCCAGTTAACAGTTTATCCACAAGCACCAGATAACACATTTCAGGAAATATGGAATACTTTGCGCATTTAATCAACTGCATTGAAGAAAAATGGATTTGCCAATACTAAAAGCCACAAATATCTATATTTAATAAGTTTTTAAGTCACAGCCTAGCATATTAATGAGTAAGGTAATATCAGGTAAGAAAAGGGAGAACATTTTTCATTCTGTTATTCTGGAACATAATAATCTTTCTTATAATGTAATTTTGTGTAATAACAGGAACCACATAAATTACATTTTTATAACTTTTTTTATTGCTTGATTTAGGACGTGAAATAAGCTTCTCTTTTGTTTGAACTGTACAGATGTACCTAAAAATTCAGAAACGCAGAAGCTGAGTGAGATTGGACAGATAGCTTCGGACAAATAGCTTCTTTTAGCCCAACTGTAACATCACTGTGTTGTCATATTCAGGAAGAACTTTTATATATTCATTCTTTGCAATTCACCAAATGCAACTCATATTCTAGTGTCTGCACTACCGCTTAATTGCTCTAGTTTTTGTTCTTGATGTACTCTTCCCAGAGGAGTTAAGTAACTTCATTTCACAGCTCAGCTTTTTTTGTTTATTTGTTTGTTTGTTTGCGATTGACAAAGCAGCTCAGAGCTCCAGCATTCCAGTTAGCTGCCAAGGCTGTCACCCGAGAGAAGTTTTTCTTTTGAATTCTGTTGTTCCTCCTTCATGGAAAAGCAACATCATTCAGATGTTACAAATGCTTGCTACCATGCTGGCTACTGAAAAGGTCCAGAAAAGTTAAAGCACTTTGCCTGTAAATATGATCCCCCTAATACAGAAAGAATTTAGGATGAAAACTGAACTCTGTGCCAAAAGGAAAAAAGGTTACAAGACATACACTAGAGAAAGCATAAAGAGATCATAAAGAGATGAAAGATAGCATAGCATGGCTGTTTAAGGAAATAAGGTAACACTCCCCTCTGTGAGCTACATGTATTATCTGATCCCAAACTGGGTAGGGGGTACAGGGAACAGAACTTATTTTCTAGCATAGATGAAAAGGAGTAAAACCGTGGCATCCAAAGATGCACTAGCAGCTAAACTATATGGGGAGAAGGAGAGGGGAAATGACAATGAGACAATTGTGGGCTTTGACTCACATACCGGCAAAAACAGATGGTTGATGTAGAAACCACCCCCAGACACCCGGCCTCCTCCTTTGACTGAAGTTTACTCCAGCAGAAGGAATAATTGAGCTTCTGAGCTACTGCAGTTTACTCTTTAAAATGTAATGAGAACGAAATTGTTTCTTATATGCTTGCTAACACAGAAGCGGGTGGGGGAAACAAACAAACCACATTCTATCCTCAATCTCAGTTCGGTCTTCCAACTCCTTGATAGAGTAGAATTTACACTCACTAATGCTGAACCTTTGGCAACTTTCTCATTCAAACCATGAAAAAAAAAGTCTTCTAGCAGTTAGACATCGTCTATTTTGCAGAAATCTGCATAAGGAACAGTGCTCTGAAGTATTCCTACTGGCACACGCTACCTCTAAATGAGAGAAAAGAAGAGCTATTCTCCCTGCTTACTTCTTTTTCTAGCAATAAAAGTTAACAAGATAAACAGGTAGAATAGATAAATCTGGATTTATTCCAATCTGCATAATGAATGCTTGAAAGAGGGAAGATCTGCTTCCTTACAAGCAAAAGAGCTAAGCCCTCTAAGCAATAAAATCAGATTTGAAATAAACTGAAGGCCAAGGTGATAAATGCAGAGACCGTTAGATAAGTGGGGGAAGGTAGGATGGGGAGAAACAGACTAATCAAATTGTTCAGACCAAAAGGGAATATTTTGAAATAGACAGAAAGACTACACATTCTCTGACAATGACAGAGATTGACAAACTTATGTGACCAGACTGGGAGTATAAGTACTGGTGGAGAAAACACAGGGAAGGAGGCACTGAAGAGATTTGTCTGGAACCTTAGGTATCACATTTACTCAAAGGCAGCACAAACTTTATTCTTCTACCATTTAAAATCCAAAGGTTGCTTTGCATTTATCTATTAAAGATAAGCTATTTTTATGTCAGTCTATATTAACCATAACAGAAAACCACACACATTTTGCACTGGGAAATAGGAGAAAGCATGCACATGTTGTTACATGGCAACTATCTACAGACAGGCCACTGCATCTCGGAAAACTCAAGTTAAAATAATTTTCCTATAAATAAGGGATTTGTTTCCAATGTTACAAGATAAACTTTTTAAAGAATGATCCTCCTCTCCCAAAAGTAGAACATTTAACTGCTTTCTCAAAATTTGTGGAGCTTCCTTGTATTAATGACTCTTTTGATTTTGTTTTGGCACTTTGTAAGGGAAATAAATTGATCACATAGGAAAGGCATAAACAGATTAGAAAGCTAAGAACACAAGATATACAACTGATGAAACAGAAATACAGGAGAGAAAATTCTTTGCGAACAAAGAATTTAGTGCCAAGACTGTGAGAAGCTACAGACCTTGGTTTGAAAAGAGGACAGAGACAAAAATCACAGTGAGCGACAAACAGTTAGGAAAACTGGGTGAACAGAAAAGCTTCAAAGCAGACAGAATTTGACACAAAGAGCTTAGGAAGGTAAAAAAAAAATAAACCAGGAAGAGACATGTAAATTAACTGAGGTGGACAGAAGGGACAGACCAGATGAAAGGCTCTTTATTTCTCATGGATCGAGAACAATATTGAAAAAAATACCCTCCTTTCAAAGGGAAGATAAGTTGAAACCTCACAGCAAAATTAAAGTCATAAAAAAGTCAGCCAGCAAAATGACATTAAAAAAAACCCCAAACACAAACCACCAACCACTTTCCTGAGCCTGTATGTATGGGGATGAAAGCTTTTGAGGTTACATAATTAGAACGGGTCATAATCCAGGTAGTAAGAAGAAAAATCCAATTCACAAATAAGCATCTAAAAGGGCAGAAGCTACACGGATTCCAGCACTGAGGCGATACAGTGACCACTGATCTCAGTCATTCAGTGGGAACTGTCCTAATACTTCTATCATCCTTGATGATCACTGTAACAGCTGGTCAGAAACAAAGTGCCCTTTGTTAGGACAGTGAGCGCATTAAATCCCAGAGAGTTCATCAACACAGAAAACCCATGATATTGTCACATCATACTGTTTACTTTGACCTGTCAATTGGACTGCTACACACGTGGAGAGGACACTGCAAAATCAGATACTGATTGTTGTTATGGTCAGAGGTGGTACGGCCATTGTTAAATTTTATATTGTAACATAGTTTTTATTCTTCTATCTACTCTAAACCTGGACACTCTCAAGTATTCCAACTCAGAATTTTTGTAGCTTGTGCATGAATAGAACAAACACTGAAACTCAAAAGAGAAACGTACCAAATAAGAATTAAACAAACAGAAGGAACAACCTACAACTGCAAACCTTCAAGTTTAAGGGCTTGTTTTCCAGGACACCAAAACAACTGGGAAGTATCAACAGCTACAGTAGGTTTACAATTGCTATTTTGCATCACTGGAACAATGCAAAAAATGCTGAAATGTATTCGTTTAAGATACAATCACCTATTTAGCTTGCTTACTATTGCAACAACCAAAAAGAAGCACTGCTGAAATTCAGTCTGTCATCTCTGGTTGTCTACCAAGCCGTTTGCTTAGGGACCACCAATCCCAACATAAACACAGTCAAAATGATCCTAGTTCATGATCACAAGAGTTCAGAGCATGAAGAATTAGTTCAAACTCAAATTTAGATTTACAAAGCACAGCTCTCTGGTTTCAACAGATAAGTTTTACATGTTTCAACAAAGTATGAAAAAAAAGAAACAGAGTCTTAATATCTTAACATCTGCACTTCAAGGGCTGTCCCACACTCTTGTCTCATTTTGTCCCTTAGTTCTGTGCATTTGTCGTACAGCGAAACACTGACCCGTGGAACAAAACATCTTCAGCACTGATGACTAGGGTATTGAAAATAAACTGACTTACACAGCAGAAAGAATCAGGCGAGTTAGCTTACTAATAACAACTCCTGATGGCCATGCCAGTCTTCCTCACACTTAGTTGTTGCATCCAATTTTGCTTTAATAACCCAAACGATTCCTTATTTTCAAGGATCTGCTCTAAAAGCAAGAGGATGCAAGTCCAGGGCTGAAGTCTGAACAGCTACTGAAGATGTTGCAACAGACAAAGCCAGAAAATGACAAGCGAAAGGGTTTATCGCAGTATTCAATTCTGATCTTACTCTCCAACAACCCATCATACAGGCTTTTAATATGTTTACACATATGACAGCATTTTTATACTGCAAAATATTGTAGAACTGTATGTTACGGAAAGGGGAGAAAAAACAAATTGATTCAAGCAAACACAGTTGTTTCATGCAAAGTGATAAAGCAGAGAAATTAATACTATTCAGTTGCCTCCCATCTCCTCCACCTAGCCAGCAATACCAGCTCTGCTTACCTTTTCGACTCCTCACTTCTCTTTGATGCTTCCCTATAAGGCACTGGCACACCCTGCCAGAGTGCCTGCGCTACGACTTACTCCTTCAGTGTTTCTCCTACCAGTAGCAGTCAGACATCCATGCCAACACAGCAAGTATGAACATACTCACTGATCATTCCCTCCCCTAACTCGCTCTCACAATCAGTTCTGGTGCTTGCACACCTAGTCCTAACCGAAATCCAAATCGGACCCTCAAAAGAACACGATCTCCAACTAGAGAAACGCGCAGCTTCTCCCAGAGGACACGCACCGCAACTTTCCTCCTGAATTCACTGGGCCATTTACAAGTAGCGTCCGAGTCCCCTCGACTAGATTTCACTTACGTTTCGAGTCAGTACTTCCACACCACCAAAGACCCTATTGCAGGCGCGGCGCGGTGCCGGGCGGGGCGGCAGCGGGAGGGGCGGGGCTCGGCAGCGCACACACCTCGCAGGAACGGGCAAAACACACCACGAACACACCGCCCGGGGCGGGGTGAGAAACCCTCTGGAGCACGGACAGCCCCCACCGCCTGCAGCGGGACTCCTGACACCGCCTCAGCCCCTGCTCCGCCGCTGTCACCCCGCTCCTCAGGAGGCGACCGCCCGGCCCTGGGCCCGCTCCCCCGGAGGGGAGGAGGAAGAGGAGGTTCCCCCCCCACCACTATCCCGCCCCCCCCCCCC